CAGGGTAATGCCCGAGTGCACGGTCCAAAAAAGATAATAAAGTCGCACTCGGGCTAACTGAGGCCAACGGCCCAGACCTAAAACACTGAAGCAACAACACAACACACAAAAACAAAAACTACAAAAAGACAAAACCTAAACTAAAACAAGAAGCCTCCCTCAGCAGAAGCGCCCGAAGAGACAGCAGACAAAGTTGGATCCGAAGAGAGCTCCAAAGCTCTAGAACGACGCCTGCCACTGCAGAAGGCCTAGCAAGACGAAGACCAAAGACCCAGAGCAAACCAAAGAAACCCAACCCGCACACCGACCGCAAGAAATCACAATCGCGCCCCCACCGGCTAACACCACTAGCCAATCCAAAATCATCCCAAAATTGCCTAACACCACTAGCCAACTCCGGGAACGAATGGCCTCCTACTAACTCAGAAGCCGAGAAATAAAAGGAAGGGGACGAACCGATCTCAGAGCTCGACAGCTCCGACCCTGCTCGCTGGAACAAGCCCCAGTCAACCATCTGCCCGCCCAGCCCACAAGCGCACGACCCGACCCGACACCCCAGCACAGCCGAGGAACCAGACATCGGACTCCAGTAAAAAACCAAAGACCCAAAACCGGGGCGACCTGCCAGCCTGGCGGAAGAAGGAGCACCAACCAGGACTCGAAACCAATCTCCCCCTCCAGCTACCGAGGACAAGCCGAAGCCTCCCGCCACCAAACTATAATGCCGGCTCAAAGAAAACCGGACTGAAGACTTCCAAATGCACGGCGATCGGAGCTGCAACCTTCGACAAGGACTGAAAGGGGGGGGACTGAACAAGGTCAACGCGACCATCCGAGCCGCGTCCAACCGCTGTAACCACACTCCGACAGCCTCCCCACCGAGGACCTGCAATCGCACCTCCGCAGCGAGAGAGGGAGGGATGAGGAGAGTCGCTACCAACGGCATGGACGCTCGACTGTGAGCTGCCCACCGGCTAGCTGGAAGACCGCCGAGAGAGGCTCAATACCGGCGACAATGGAAGCTAGGGTTTCGCGATTGAGGGATTTGGGGAGAAGAATTTCTTATGATTCGGTCATTACTTTCAATTTCATTTGTTAATTAATTACTTTTTAAGTTTTTAGTTTTATTACATATTTTGATTTATTTCTTAATTTTATTACATATTTAGATTATTAATAAAATTGATGTTTCAAATATTTTTTTTTTTCAAATTAATTTATAAATTTTTGAAAATAACCTTTATTAAACTTTTTCATAAATGTAAGTTATATATATATATATAAATTTATTTTCTTATTAAGGTAATTTTATTAAATATATTTACTAATTTTATATAAATTACAAAAAAAGTAATATTTTGTTCACGTAGTTATATCATAACGTACAAAAAAGTAAAAGTATCCAGCCTAGACATAACTCAAACTCTAGAGAACACAATTTTGTGAGTGGGTGTGTTTGTGTCAAAATGTAATCCTATATAGCTAAGATATTGCTGAATTTTCTTCATATAATTTTTTTCTTCTTTTACATATACGGTCGAGTAAACTTTTTAAAATTCGAGAATTTTGTTTAATTTTTTAAACTTTCTTAAAAAAGTGTTATTTAAAAAAAATGAATTAAGTATATCATAATTATTCAAAATCGAAAAAAGTCGACATAAAGTTTGAATAAATACACACATCCTTTAAGTACTTTTTTTTTTTTTTTTTTTTTTTTTTTTTTTTTTTTTTTTTTTTTTTTTTTTTTTTTTTTTTTTTTTTTTTTTTTTTTTTTTTTTTTGTCGCCATCCAAGCTATCCCTATTCTATTTACCTTTTCTTTACTCTTAAGTAAAAAGAAAAAAAAACTAATTATTTAACATATGATTTTAATGTTATTTTATTTTATTTTATTTTTTCATTTTTTCTGCTATTATTTAAACAATAGAATTAAACAATAAATTTCTTTTTTTTAAAAAAAAAACAAGAAGACGGGCAAAAATTTAATTTTGGTCCGCTAACTTGTCTATTGTCCACTTTTAGTACACTATCTTTCACCTCATAAAAAAATGGTCCATTATGTTACTCTTTTTATCAGTTTTAGTACACTAATCCCGTTGCCCAGAATTACGAGATGTCAAATCAGGTTTTTATCCTACCACGTTAATACCTTATCTCTTCCACGTAGTTCCAATTCCAGTCCACGTCATCTCGTAATCCCGCCAACTGGA